GAGGGAGGAGGAATCTGAGCTTCCCCACAGGAGTGCAGCCAGGTCACACTGCGTGGACCATGGGATCACTTGCGGGAAGATGTTTATCCTGATGTTAGTTACCCCTGGCAGCCTGGGAGCCTTGAGTGTGACCATAAAAGAGAGAACAAGCTCTAATGCCAGCAGCATTCCCGACACTGCTGGGACTGTGTGCTTGCAGGTCTGTGTCCTTTCCAAGACCGGGGCTCTGTAGCTGAAGACTCCTAGCAGAAAGTCTATGGATGGGGGCGTTGGAGGTATGTTTGGGCAGTTTTCCAGGAAGTGGTCCCACAAATTTCATGACAATCTCGGAAGGTCGTCTGTCATCTCCCAAAATTTAGATATCAATTATATTCCCCAACGAGTGGCCCAGGACAGGGAACGTGTTCCTATTTAACGAGCACTCGCTGCTCTAGGACCCAGCACAGGGGCAGGGACAGAATAAGCTGTAATCCAGGTGGTGTGCTGAGGGAATGCTGAAGTATGCAGCTGTTAAACATTAGGAACATCATGCAACTTGGAAAATTGCAAATGAGGTGTCAAGTTCAAAATACAGGCTTCTGTAATTAATAAGGAATTTATAGTGATATTTTGAGAACATATGAATAATATCCAATTTCCCACAACTTTCACCCAGAGGTTTTGGCATCCACCGATGATCCTATTCGAATCAGGTATGACATCGGGGGTTGCTTCTATATATTTTTTTTTTATTTTATTTTTTTAAAGACAGGGTCTCGCTCTGTTGCCTAGGCTAGAGTGCAGTGGTGTCATCATAGCTCACTGCAACCTCAAACTCCTGGCCTCAAGCCATCCTCCCACCTCAGCCTCCCAAGTAGCTGGGACTACAGGGGCGAGTAGTTCATGCCACAATGCCTGGCTAATTTTTCTATTTTTTGTAGAGATGGGGTCTTGCTCTTGCTCAGGCTGGTCTCAAACTCCTGGCCTCAAGCAATCCTCCCACCTCAGCCTCCCAAAGTGCTAGGATTACAGGCGTCAGCCACCACAGCTGGCCTGCTTCTACATTTTTAATTGGCTTTTTTTTCCTTTATTTTTGTATTTTCTGAATATCATTAGGGACACATGGAATTTCAAAAAATAAAATGTGTTATAATCTAATACTGTCATTTTCCCTTTTGATGTTCAAATTGCCCAAAATAAGGCCAGCAGGGGCCATTTCAAGCTGGCTTCTTTGACTCTGTAAGAAATATTTCCCATTCATTCTCGGCTGTTCCTTCCTTTTTTTTTTTAAAACATTTTTTTTTTTTTTTTTTTTTTTAAGACAGTCTCACTCTGTCTTCCTGGGTAGAGTGCAGTGGCCTCATCATGCTCACTGCAGCCTCAAACTCCTGGGCTCAAGCAACCCTCCTGCCTCAGCCACCTCAGTAGCTGGGACTACAGGCACGTGCCACCATGCCTGGCTAATTTTTCTATTTTTTGTAGAGATGGGGTCTTGCTCTTGCTCAGGCTGGTCTCAAACTCCTGAGCTCAATCTGGCTTCTCTGGGCAGAAACATCACACACGTGTTGTTGCATTTGCGCTGCTGTAAGGAGGGTGACATCTGTGTGACTTATCACAGGAGGGAGAGAGCATAGGAAACCTGCAAATGGATGTCTCCAGACTCCAACGTGTATCTTTTCCCTTACTGATCCTGCTGGGCATGCTTACTGTGTCACTGTAATAAATATTAGCTGAGTACAACTACATTCTGATCCCTTTCAGCAAATCACCAAATGTGTGAGTGGTCCTGCGGGGGTCCCCTAAACAAGACTCTTCATTTGATTTTTTTTTTTTTTTTTTTTGAGACAGAGTCTCACTCTTTTGCCTGGGCTAGCGTGCCGTGGCGTCAGCCTAGCTCACAGCAACCTCAGACTCCTGGGCTCAAGCAATCCTCCTGCCTCAGCCTCCCAAGTAGCTGGGACTACAGGCATGCGCCACCATGCCTGGCTAGTTTTTTCTATATATTTTTAGTTGTCCGATTAATTTCTTTCTATTTTTAGTAGAGACGGGGTCTCGCTCTTGCTCAGGCTGGTTTCGAACTCCTGAGCTCAAACAATCCGCCCTCCTCGGCCTCCCAGAGTGCTAGGATTACAGGCGTGAGCCACCGCGCCCGGCCTCTTCGTTTGATTTTGCATGTATTTTTGAGAACCTCATAAAAACCTAAAAAATACTGCCCTAAAACTATTATGCCCTTTCAAAAAAAAAAAAAAACTATTATGCCCTTAATCAGACAACTACAAGTCCAAAACCAGGTAGAACTGGTCTTCATAACTGCTGCCATTCTGTAGGTAACAAGGTAGCTGAGAACTTAGCTCACTGGCTCTAAATCCCAAAATAATATCCTTACTGCAACTTCGCAGGCACGAAAAGATGAATGCTCTCCACCAGGCAGAATGCAGAGACTACAGCTCAGATATACTTGCTCAAAGCCAAGGATATTTACACTCCGTACATGTGCCATACAGTTGAATATCATCAGAGCCAATTTCTGGGAAAGGAAGTCATTATTCTAGTGTTCATATTCCTTGTCACATTTGTTTAGGGTTGATTACAAGCAGTAATCTTGTTTGACAGAAATACAGCCCCAGCTCAGCTCACATTAGAGCGTGCCATCAAAGCGGTCATTGGCTTTTCAAAGCTCGCTAATCCCATGGAGCTGGGCAGGGAGGAGCTGAAGTGCAAGGCTCCTCTGGAATCCTGGTGTCTGTCATTGGATTAATTCATAGTCACCATTCTTAGCTGGAAAACTCCCTGCAGTGTGTCAAGATCAGACTAGACTACATCCATCCTTCCCTGCTACCTGCATTTATTACTTTAATGGGTAATAAACAACCCCTGTGTGAGAAGGAGCCAGGGAGACAAAGATAAATATTAATAAGATGCTGGCCGCCCTTAAGGAATGCACCAGTTTATGGTTGACACATAGGACTTCTCTCACTTCTGTGGAAGCCTAGTAGTCAGCTGTAATTCCAATGCCTGCATCACAGTTTTCTTAGGGGTCTTTCCTTCTCTCCAAAACACACTGTATCTTGCTTAGGAGTCTCTACCAATGAGTCAGTTTTCTCAGAAACGACTGGGGAGCTTTACGCAGAGACCGCCAGCCTGCATGCAGGAATTGGCAGGCCATGCATTATGCAGGTGGGCAGTCCACACAAACCAGACGACATTCATATATGAGTTGGTGCTTGCAAGTAGCCAGATGATTCTGGGTGAATTATTTCTCCCAGCCATCTAACTTGCTCTGTCACCCTCCTTCTTTCAGTGTGAGAACCTGAAATAACGGAGACTATAAAGTGGCTGGGAAGGGCCACAGCACGTATCTGACATGGGACCACACTGGAATGTCTGATATGCTGTGTAAGCCATGCAGCCTCAGAACACAGGAAGCTCTTCTTCAGAGGAAGTCTCTTATGCAGAACCACGACGCGTGAGCCAGATAAAGTGAGCTGCTCCACTGAAGCAGGGAAGAGCCCAGAGCCTCCTCAGCCTGCTCCTCACCGCAGCCCAGATCCCAGCTCTGCGGGCACAGTTTGAAAGCCAGTGCACTGGTTCAAGACCGCAAGCAGTGATCATTAATTCAATTAGACGCACGACATGCAAAGTATGTAAAGCTGTTCCCATAAGGAACACACAGTGAAAGGAAATGCTAGAGAGCTGTGCGCTTCTCCTAGCAGGTTATGCCACAAATAAGCAGGCTTATGTAACACAAGCACGCATACACACACCATGCACAGACCCTGGCAGCCCTCAACTGCGATACTGCAAGGCTGCTTGCTAGCATGAGCGTTGGCAATGGTAATCTTTTAAACAACATTTATCTAATTACTGTGGTAATAACCCCTACCTGCGTCTATGATATTCTGGCTAGTCCTTTCACTTTCGAAGTTATTATGTACAATTTTCTTGAATGAGAAGAAGATAAATTCCTCCCAAACTCATATTTAAGTGTAATGAAATTTCAGTGAAAATCATTAAGGAATGTTTTTATTCAAATCTGATTTTAAAAATTGTTACACAGTTTGCCTGGAAAAATAGCAAAATACATTAAAAATGTTAATAATAATGGGAGTAGGGTAGATTAGGTCTTGATTTACAATAATGCTATGATAATGAAAAGATGGGTAAAGGTTCTGGTATAAGAGATAAAATCATCAATGGAATAAAATAGAAATTCCTGAAACAAATGCAAATTACTCGTTTTTCTAGAAATTTCACAGGGGATGTGGGGTGTTGGGGGGGTATCAGATCCCTACCTCACACATTTTGCTGAAAATAAAGTCCATATACTTTATCGATTTAAACTATAAAACAGAAACCATAAATGTGTTAAAGGAAAACACCAGGGTTATTATTTTTATAATCTTTCCATAGGGAAAGATTTTAGGCATGATACTAAGGGCAGAATTCATAAAAGATCTGACTACATAAATTTTTAAAAAAACATAAATAAAGACTATATAAAGTCATTATCTAAAACTCTTTAGGGAGATTAAAACTACCACTAACAACTTAGAAGAAAAGCAAAATCATTTGGAAAATTATTTGCAACCTAACAAAGGATTAATGTCCTTTATATAGAAAGAACTTACCAATCAGTAAGAAAAAGAATACAATAACAAAATGAAAACAAAAAGGCATGAGCTGTGAACAAGCTATTCATAAAACAAAGAGCCAATAAACATATAAAATATTCATATATATTTATCGAAGAACCAACAAAAGAAAATCTCATTTTCTACTTACCAAAATGACAAAAATTTCTAAAATAATACCCAATGTCAGCATGATTTGGAAAGCTGACCCATTACTGCTGTAGGCATGATTAAATTATTTTCATTAAGAGGAAAAAAATGTGTTTAAGAAGAAAAAAATGGATTTTTCACTTTTAAAAAAAATTTATAGCTCTATGAAATTTTGTGAGAAACCAAAGATGGTAATAACTGTGCATCTTGGGTCATTGCTGGGAGCAGTAAACTGGTTACCTGGAAGAGAGTCTGCACCCCTGTTGCAGGTAGGTGTTCAGGCTCCCAGTTGCCGCGAGTAACAGCCCCAGGTATGGAGGGGAAGGCTTCAACGGCCTCGAAGAAAACTCAGGATGAAACTGGACGCCAACAAAATAGGGATGATCTGAAATAAGAACAACCGTGATGCAACTGAAACAGACAGATATGAGAACTGCTATAAAGGTCTTCTTATCTTTGAATAAGAAAACTCATGAAAAGGTAAGATGACAATTTAACTGGTTATCATCATAGTCAGTTACATTCACGATCCATTTCTGAGTGGAATTCCAAATTGTAAAACATATCTCACTTAAAAAGAGATCCAGAAAGTTCATCTGTGGAAGGTGTTAGAGTGAGCAAAGCCAAGCAAAAATTTTTGAATGGCACGAATTCTGCTTTCCCAAAATCTGTCTGCTTTTTGAAGGTACTTTGTAGACTTCCATTGGCTCTATTTCCATGGTATCCCTGGGCCTTTAGGCTAACCCTGGGTCATTCTTTCTTTTAGATGGCTTCCAGCCGTTTCCTACAAGGTCTTCTCCTTTCCCAAGGGAAGGGTCCCCTGGGATAAACCAACACAGTGCTGACTCACTGGGCTACCCCTGGGGCTAAGACAAGGACAACTGCTTTTCTAAGTCACAGCTTTAAGTTGGATATGAATCATAGCACCATGAAACGGAGGATTTTTTGGATAAAGTGATTCAGAGCAACAAACCATTCATTCGAACATTCTGTCCCTGGCGATGACTCAAACTAAAGATAATAAAATATAATAAGTTTCATAGGGGGAAGTAAATCTAACTTTAAAGCTTTCAATGAGCTTATCAAATGATCTAAAAATCTAGTATGGAATTCAAAATCACAAATTCCCATCACTTACCACTGAAGACCCAAAACTACTACTACAGTAATTAGGAAATGATGATTGAACAGAAATATCTGCTCTCCCAAGATTATTATTTAAAGCTCTGCTTGGCCAGGGCACGGTAACTCACACTTGTAATCCTAGCGCTTTGGGAGGCAGAGGCAGGAGGATTGCTTGTGACCAGGAGTTCAAGACTAGCCTGAGCAACATTGTGAGATCTCATCTCTACAAAATAATAATAATAATAATAATAATTGCTGTACAAAATGGTAGCCACTAGCCACACATGCTATTAAGCTCATTAAAATTAATTGGGCATGTGCTCGATGGCCACATGTGGCTAGTGGCTACCATATTGAACAGGGCAGAACAGTTCCATCATTGCAGCAAATTCTACTGGACAGCTCTGATCCCAGAAAAATCCAGTGTAAAAATCCTCCACATCTAAAAAGAAGCCTTTTTGAATGAGAGGCACACTCAGGTATGAAAGCGTGGTGAGGGGAATGCCACCTTCTTTCTCCCAGGATTGTATCCCCTCAAGAAAAGAAGAGAAATCATCCACACTTAGAAAAGAAATTAAGCAATGTGGCTTTAAATTTAAGATGCAATAAATCTTACAGCATAGCATCTAGGGATGTCTTTGAAAGAAAGCAGACAGTAATTGTGTTTTTGTACCACTACAGACAGAAGCTGAGCAATGGATCGTGTCATAGCCAGGGACAGAATATTTAAATGAATGGATCATTGCTCTGAATCATTTTATCCAAAAAAGTCTTCTATGCCAATGTGAGGAGAGCCTAAAAAGTTCTTATTTTGATGATGTTCTTTCAGTCAGACAAAGTACCTTTAAACTAATGCTCTTACTTGCTTTAAAACAAATTCCGACATTATACTAATCTCAAGTTTTGTTGTTCCTCTTAGAACCCTTCAGGAACAGTGGAGATTCACAGATATGCTTCTCAGGGGTACCTAAGATCAAAATCTTCTGGGAAGTTTTTCCTAATAAAATGAATTTCCTTGTAGTCAGCTTTTAAAAATTGCAAGGTTTTATAGCAGCTCTCATTTCTTTCCAATCCACGTGAAATTTGAAAGCATCAATGGGGATCTAAATCCTTGTGATGAAAGGAGCTTCTAAGTATTTGCTGACAATAATGAGAATCAAGAGAATTAAAAGAAAATAAGTACTTGAACAAAGCAAACAAATAGTAATTTGCTTAAGAAATTCTCTGCCTTCTCACATGCTAGAAAGATTTAAGAGGTTTCGATACCAAACAGTGATCCATACTTTAATTCTAAAGGATGAGCATTTCCATCACAAATACTCCTGGAAATACATCCTTACTATTTTAATTCAAAACTCTAGGCATGAATTAATCATCTTAGGTGGAGTGTGAAAACAAGAGGAACATAGGCAAAGAATTTATGAAGAAGAAATTAAAAAAAAAAAACAAGAGGAATAATAAAATCCCACAGGGTTGATGGCAGAAGAAAGGGATGACCTGGGTTTGTTCCAGGCCTGCCAGGGCCTTGCTGAATGGCCCTAGACATGTCACTAAACCCCTGTGCACTCCAGTCTCCTTCTCTGTAAAGTGGGAATAGCATCACCTGCTTTCTTAGGTACATAAGGCATGCAGAGTCCCTAGCAAGAGGTCTAGTGACAAGCATACAGTAAGTGCACACTAAATGTCCACTGCTTTCCTTCTTCTAGGAAACAGCTAAAATGCTGTGGCATTCAAGGAACCTTTTCAGGCTTCGATTTTCCTCCCTGCTCAGGATTCTAGAAGTACTTGAATAGACTAGAGACAAAAAGGGAAAGAGACAGAGAAAAGGCATTTGAAGTAGAGAAGAGTGGCACGAGCTGATACGGAGAAAGGAGAGGGAAATTAGAGGAAGAGCAAGTAGTCCAGTTTATCTGGAGCCTAAAGTACACAGGTTGAAAAGGTAGGTTCTAGAATATCATGCTATCATTTCTGGAGTATCCTATACACACTTAGCATTCAATAAATGAGAGTGGTTATCCAACATATTAGTGTCACACATGCTGAATAGTCAGAGTTCTGTCTTTGTTAGGAAGTCTTGGAGAGGAAATGGCCTGGAAGCAGGGAGGAGCTTGGGGACGAGTCTGAGTCGGAGCTGACATGAGCGGGGACTAGCGTGGCAGGGATGGGAATGCACAAATGCAGTCTTTCCTTCCAGAGACAAAATCTAAGGGACTGGACAACTGATTACAGGCTGTGGGTATAAAGTGGAAGAAGAGCTAATATGTACAATCTCAAGTCTGATGGTCTAGGAGAATGGCTCTCAACCAGGGGCAAATGTGCCTCCCTGGGACATCTGACAGTGTCTGAAGATGTTTTGGGTTGTAACAACTTGGGGGTGAGGGAGTGTGATACTGGCCTCCAGTGAATGGAGGCCAAGGATGCTGCCAAACACCCTACAGTGCACAGGATGGCCCCACAACGAAGAATTATCCCACTCCAAATGTCAATGGTGGTGAGCGTGAAAAATCCTGGACAAGGAGATTGATGGTACCTTAACGGAAATAATCAAGAGGAAGAACTAATTGGGAGGGCACGTAAATTTAGTTTTAAATAACTTGAGATAGAAGTGCCAAGAGAACAGTATTATCCTGGATGGAGCTGGAGTCCATTCTACTAAGTGAAGTATCCCAAGAATGGAAAAACAAGCACCACATGTACTCACTGTCAAATTGGTATTAACTGATCACCACTTATGTGCACATACAGTAGTAACATTCATCAGGTGTCGGGCAGGTCAGGGGGAGAAGGGATGGGTATATTCACACCTAATGGGTATGGTGTGCACCGTCTGGGGGATGGACATGCTTGAAGCTCTGACTCGGGTGGAGAAAAAGCAATATATGTAACCTAAACATTTGTACCCCTGTAATATGCTGAAATAAAAAAAGAGAGAGAGAGAGAACATGCTGATAGAAAAACAGGTCAAGCAGGCACCTGAAAATGTCAAATTCAAGTTATTTAAATGAAGTGTATACGTGTGGGCCTAGGTCAAGGGTTGGCAAACATTTCTGTAAAGGGATCAGTAGTAAATATTTTAGGCTTTACAGGCCACAAGGTCTGTCTCCCAACTACCATCTCTGCCATGGTAGCATAAAAAGCAGCCAGAGACAATACATAGATGAATGAGTGTGGCTGTAGCCGGGGCTCAGGAAACACTACCCCAAAGTACTTTGAACAGGCGAATGGGAGGGCTTCACAAGCAAGAAGGTCACTCTGACCTCCCCCGCCTTTCTGCACAAAAGCTGGCCATAAAGAAATTCTCTGCCCTACCTTTCCTGAAAATAGGTCATAAGACCCTTGTTCCAGAGGGGTCCTGCCCCACAGCAGCGGGGGGCGGCAAGGAGTGCCGCACACAGAGGCCAAGAAGAATCAGAACTGCCAGGGTCTCCGCCCTCAGACTATTACCATTAGATCATACGCTTTTTGTCCAATCACATCGCTACACAGCATAAACATAGACAGTTTTCCCTGGGCCTCTGGGTCTTCATTTCTGAAGACTCCTGTGTCATATAAAACTTTGATTAAATAAATCTGTTATGCTTTGCTCTTGTTGACCTGTCTTTTGTTATAGGAGTGTCGGCCATGACCCTCATATAATGGGTAAGGAAAAGGTAACAGGTAACACCTTTCTGCCCCTATGCTATGTTCCAATAGGACTTTATTTATGGACACTGATATCTGAATTTCATATAATTTTCACATGTCACAAATATTATTTTTTTTAACCACTTAAAAATGTAAAAAACATTCTTAGTTTATGAGCCATACAAAAACAGTCGGGAGGCTGGATCTGGAGCACAGGCAGTCGTTCACCAACCCCTAGGCTAGAATGACAAGACAAAGAGCCGAGACCAGCTGTGACCATGGGCTTACCACGTCCTTGCACAGCTGAATGAGAAGAACTGCCTTCTGTCTCATATGCAATAAATGTTTAGCTTGTGCCTATCTTCCCAAGGGTGTCCCAGCCTGGCCACAACCAACTTCTTTAGTGTTCATCCTCATTAGAAGTCCAACACCTTTGCTCGTGTTCTGTTTGGTCTTACAAAGAACTCTGAGAGCAGCAATCAGTGTTCAGAAGCTAACTGACTGGCCCATGCTTGACCATGGAGCATCAACAATAGGGAAAGGGAGGAGGGGACCAGGTCCTTCACACAACAGACATCAACACCAGTCACCGGCAGCAAGGCGGGCACTTGGCCATTCTTCCTCAAAGGAGGGCCAGTAGAGTGCCACTCAACAGTGAGCTGTCTGCCTTTCCCAGAGCACCAAGCCTAGAGGCTAGTGCATAAGAGAAAACCCAAGGGGGTGCAGTAAGGAAGCATACTGATTGTAGAACTGGAAGACTCTGAACAATACACCATTTTAGGGTAGATTCAGACTAACAGGATCCCAAATGATTAGGATCATAAGCAATCTGCTTTTTTCATGAACTCTGTAGTTGCATACTTATTCCAAAGAAGAGCAAAAAAGAAAGAACATGAACCAATTAGTCTGCGATCAACAAAAAGATGTTAGCTCACCACGAAGCTTTTCAAAAACGAAGAGCCCACTTACTTGCCAGTTCAATGATTTCCATCCTCTCCCCATCCACATCCTGACCTACAAAACTTAAGTCGCTCTGCTCGAATTGGTTGATCAGATTAGGATTCACCTGGAAAAACAAGAAATGAAGTGTCTTTGGGCCACAGTGCAATATCAGCTTATGAAGAGGTTCATCATCAGTTGGATGGGCTTTCCACTTCAGTGATCCTCTGACTACTAGCTGTTTTCTATATTCAATGCCCAAAGCCAATTTTAAACTCATGATGAACCTGAGATATAAAGTCTGGTCGCGGCACCTAAATTTGGGAGGCCCACCTTCTATCACCCAAAGATGAGATTCGAAAAGTCAGACTGTGACCCAGCTATTCTAAGAACCTTGAAACTAGCTATTTATGGCCGTCCCCATATTTGCTTCTTCCGTTGAGTTATGTCTACTTACCAATCTCTCCCCAGTTCACAAATTTGCCTGAGAGTTTGAAACTATCTTATTTCTCTTATGACTAACCCCAATAATTGTTATGCATGTAGTTACATAAAAGCGCTACAGAAAAGCTCAGAGATATTTTTCTACTAAAATAACAGTTTGAGATGACAATTTGATGACTTGGCTCATAGGCCCTTCCTGCCCTCATCTCATCACTATCCCTTTCCTCCTTTTCAGCCTCTCCTTCACTAAAAGTGCTTTCCCATCTAAAATCAAACTGGGAGCGGTGGGCGGTGGTGTGTACTTCTAATCCCAGCTACTCGGGAGGCTGAGACAGGAGGACTGCTTGAGCCCAGGAACTGGGAAATAGCATAGGCAACATAGTGAGACCCCATCTCTACAAAGAATAAAAAAATTAACTGGGCATGGTGGCATGCACCTGTAGTCCCAGCTACTCAGGAGGCTGAGGCGGAGGATCACTGGAGCCCAGGAGTTCGGGAGCACACTGAGCTATGATTGTGCCACTGCACTCCCACCTGGGCAACAGAGCAAGCCCCTATCTCAAAATAATAAATAAATTATTTTATTATTATAATAAATAATGATAAAATAAATTAATTTAAAGGTGGGGTCTCACCTGTCCTTTGTAATCTAAACCCCATAGCTTTTATTCTACTTTTTAAACATTATGCCAGTTCTCAGAATTTATAATTATTTTTCCTTTTTTAACAGTTTTAATGAGCTATAATTCACATACCATACAATTCACCCATTTAAAGTGTACAATTCAGTGGAGAGGTGCGCATCCATCACCATAATCAACTCAAAAACAAACCCTGTACTCTTTAACTATCATCCTTCAACCTTCCATCACCCCCATTAGTGGTAGCCACTATGTATATCCTGCCTCTATATATTTGCCTATTCTGGCCATGTATGTATACACACACACACACACACACACACATATATATATACATATTTTTTTTTAGGGACAGGATTTCGCTATGTTGCTCAGGCTGGAGTGCAGTACCTATTCAGAGAGGCCATCATAGCACCTTACAGCCTTGAATTCCTGGGTTCAAGGGATTCTCCTGCCTAAGCCTCTTGAGTGGCTAGGACTGCAGGCCTATAGCACTGTGCTCAGCTGGCCATTTGACATTAATGGATTCACACAATATGTGATCTTTGTGACTGGCTTCTCTCACTTAGCATAATGTTTTCAAGCTTTATCTATGTAGCATGTATCACTACTTCATTTCTTTTTATGGCTAAATAATATTCCATTGTTTGGATAGACCACATTTTACTTACCCGCTCACCAGTTGGTGGACATTTGAATTGTTTCTACTTTTTTTGGCTATTATGAATAATGTTGCTATGATCATTCATGTGTAAGTTTTTGTGTGGATGTATATTTTCATTTCTCTTGGGTATGTACCTAGGAGAGGAATTTCTGGGTCATGTTAACTCAATGTTTAACTTTTACAGAGCTTCCAGATGATATTCCAAAGTCACTGCACCATACTGCATTACCACCAGCAATATATAGATTCCAATTACTCCACATCCCCACCAACACTTGTTATTGTCTCTCTTTTGATTTTAGCCATCGTAGTGGATGTGAAGTGGTATGTCTTTGTGGTTTTGATTTGCATTTCCCTGATGACTAATGATGTTGAGCATCTTTTCATATGCTTATTAGCCATTCCTACATCCTCTTTGGAGAAATGTCAATACAGATCCTTTGCCATGGTCTTTATATATTCTAGATACAAGTCCCTTATCCAATACATGATTTAACCTGAAATTATTATGTTACCTTATTTTTTGTCCGCTCCAATTAGAACATAAGCTCCCTAACAAGAGGGAGACCATGTCTGTCTTTTCCCCTTCCATCCACAGTGCATGCCAGACACAAAATAGGTGTGGATGAATGAATGGCCACACTATTGTGTGCATACACAATAGTGTATGCACCTTACACCTTCGTACACCTTCTCATCACCACTGAGGCAAAGCAGCTCAATAGTTTTCAAGCCCACCAGTTGGGCTGGTTCCCAATGGAAATAAAACCAAATATGGGCTGGGCACGGTGGCTCATGCCTGTAATCCTGGCATGAGGGAGGATTAGAGGTGGGAGGATCCTCTCACCTCTGGGAGGCAGAGGTGGGAGGATCACTTGAGGTCAGGAGTTCAAAACCAGCCTGAGCAAGAGCGAGACCCCATCTCTACTAAAAATAGAAAAAATTAGCTGGGCATCGTGGCATGCGCCTGTAGTCCCAGCTACTCGGGAGGCTGAGGCAGGAGGATCGCTGGAGCCCAGGAGTTCAGGATTGCGACTGCACTCTAGCCGGAGCAACAGAAAGAGACTCTGTCTCAAAAAAATGGCCTACACTCAGCAAACTATGTTCTTTGATCATAGTGACATTGTTCATAGCCTACCCAGCATTGATTTCCACAGGTCCTCCTTCAAAACAGAGGCTTGGGCTTATTCTGGTATCCACCCCATCCCCACATGGCCCATGGGATGGCATGTGTCCTATATAAGAGTTTGGTCCTACTTGGTCTAAGCCAAACATGATACCCTGTCCCTCTTGGCAGATGAATGTTGCAAGGACCCAGGTTTAAGCCCACTGACATTCAGCATTGCCCTGGCAATGGTTACTAGTTCACGGGTGAGCAGGTAATCTAAGTTGATTTCCCTGTCTAGGAGAGACGCATGTTGCCCCAGCTGCTGCCAGCAGCAATCGGGCAAAGCAGACAGAAAAGGGCAGGGCCAAGAGACTCACAGAGACGACAGGAGCCCTGGCTGCACCATGCCTGGAGCTGCCCAGCCTCTGGACTGCCTGTTACCTAAGATAATAAAATTCCTCATTGCTTAGCCTGGTTTGAGTGACAACGGGCAAGGATTTCTGTTCATCGCAGCCAAAAGCATCCTAATTGACACACTAATTAATCCTGGTACAGACAACCTAAATTTCTGGAAATCTATGCTTCTCATGTGGCAAGCTCAACAATTGACTTCTCTTCGTCATGTGACACTAAGCCTCAAGCTCGATGTAAACTTCCAAAGGTGCCCAAGCCAAGAATCAACCATGTGATACAGAGGGACACATCCCTATCCCGAGAGGCACTTGGCTCCTTCTCAGAAGATTCAAGTCCCTTTTTTCCCAAATCTGGCAAAATAAAGGGTAGAGACTAAGGATAAGGGACAGGGACCTTATTTTGGTCTAGGAGACAGCAGTTAGAGTAGCATAGAACCCTGATATTCCCATGTTCAGGCACTTAAAGATTTTGCCTTTGGAAAGACTAAAAGAACAGTCTTCCCACCCCCAGCCCCACCCCTCTCCTCTGGAAGTGGGAAACTGTAGGAAATTTGGCACGCCTTCCCTGAACCCTGTGGATGTCACCTGGCTGGACACCTTTTTCAGAGGGCTTGCTTGTAACCACTGGGGTCCCTCCCACGAAGCACCCATATTCTGCAGTAATTCAGCGTGAAAGCTGTACCTCGTATCGATGTCTGTGTCTTTCTTCTATGAAAGGAACATCACCATAAAGTTTCCCTGTAAAGACACAAGCGTGAGATTAATACTGGTGTCATCAGCTTTGGAAGCACATCCACGGCATATGTGTGGAGGAAGCTCTTGGATCTCTGTCTATCAGAGGCCTAAAAGTGAACTAGACTCCGGGGAGTGATCTAGATTTTCTTCTCGTAGGGGATAGTGATAGCTTCTTTGAAACCCTGAAGCAATTCTCAAGTGAGCCATCACTACTGCATGAAGGGGCAGCCCACTGTCACCCAAGTCCCCCACGAATCTGGTAGATCCGCCCTCCTTATATACACCCACCTGTGGGACTGAGATGCTTATGTCTACATCACTGCTTCCGTGCAGATTCACGATGAGGTTCATTTTACAAAAGAAGAAAACAAAACTGAGGGCAGGCCAGAGACTTGCCCAGAGCCCAACCTTGCTGAACAGCACAGTCCATTCTTGAGCACAAGGCTTTCTCCATTCCATCAGAAGCCCGTGTATTTTCGCACAGTACTGGCCACATTCCGAACGTACCTATGGCCCCACCTTTAAAATGTACCTATCCTTAGTGGAACATGGTGGCACGTGCCTGTAGTCCCAGCTACTTGAGAGGCTAAGGCTGGAGGATCACTTGAGGCCAGGAGTTCGAAACCAGCCTGGATAACATAGTGAGACCTTTGTCTCAAAAAAAAAAAAAAAAAAAGTGCCTATCCATTGACACTACGATTTGACTTCTAAGAATTTGTCCCAGAAAACAGACATGAGGACAAAGCCTTAACCATAATCATGTGCACTGCTGCATTATTTAATAGCAAACAAGCTGAGCATCGAGAATAGAAGATTGGTGGATTAAACGGCAGCACATCTACACCAATAGTTCTTCACCGGGAATGTGCAGCTGGGAACCATCTGTGGCACTGCTTAAACACGCTCACACAGCTGAGGCACTGCGGCTCAGGGCAGCGCCCTGGGTGGGACCTATTTGGAGATGGGCTCAATGACTGCAGCGTCAGGTGAAACAGAGTTGGATCCATCACCAAACACCTCCCAAGAACGCCTCATTGGAGCACGTGGAGAAGCAGGGTGGCCCAATGACCAAGTGAGTTCCAGCCCTGGAGCAGTTTGAGGGGACCAGAGGCTATTCCCATAGCCCCGGCCCTCCAAACACAGACCCCAGGCACACAGCCAAGGGACGAGGAGATATTCATGCTGAAAGTCATCCTCAAACTCCAACAGAATCAGGAGCGAGCCAGGCTCAGTTCAACAGGCAGGGGATTATCAGACTCTCAAAGACATCATGAGGCTGGAACAGGATGTTTCAACCAAGAAAGACCAAATAAATGCCTTCTGTCTCGTTTGAGCTTTTGATTTGGATCAAGGAAAAGCGTATTGGTTGTATTCTCACATGACTCTGTAGGATCAATGACCACAATTGAACTTCTATTTTCAATTCTGTCCACATAGACTGAGCTCTCTGGTGATGATATGAATGATAGCGGTTTTGGGGTTTTTTTTAATTTTTTTGTTGTTGTTGTTGAAATAGTGTTCCACTTTTTCACCCAGGCTGTGCAGTGACACAATCGTAGCTCACTGCAGGCTCAAACTCCTGGGCTGAAGCAATCTTTCTGCCTCATACTCCAGAGTGGCTGGGACCACAGGGATGTGCCACCATGCCCAGCTAATGTTTTTTATTTTTTGTAGAGACGAGGTCTCGCTATGTTGCCCAGGCTGGTCTTGAACTCCTGGCCTCAAGTCAACCTCCCACCTCTGCCTCCCAAAGTGCTAGGATTACAGGCTTATGCCTGGCTGATAGTGAATATTTAAAGTATGTGTTTTAGAAAGATGAGGAACAGTGGGGGCAGGGAGCTCCATTGAGAGAACTCCAACATACCACTTAGAGGGGAGTGGTTCAGGATAGCCTTTGTACTAAAACTATTGGTCCATAAAATTTAAAAGAAAAATGAAGTAAAGCCCAATAATATACAATTGGAAAACATGGAAGCATCAGGAAGTTATAGAAAAAAGAAGTTGAAAGATTTGGACCTAACTTTGAAAGGATTCTAAGTTTCCTATGACCTCCAACTTTGACATAGATCTTTTTCTCCTACAGTCTAAAATTTCTTTTCTGCATCCTTCATTACGACAGATGACTTAGCAAATCCAACAATAGAGGCTGCCAACATTACCAGAGATGGTGAGGAAAATGGCAGAAATCTCCCAACTAGGATATAAGGAATTATCTATCTTTGAGTCACAGGGACTCGCAGGGCATTGTGGGAACTTTTGAAACAGCGTGGTTTCTGATGGCGGCCTAGCTTAAGGTAGACTTTGTGTTTGCTAAAGTATCTCAGAGGTGACAGGAAGCAGGAGGGGAGTATAGTGACTCTGGAGCCAGACTGCCTGGCTTCAAATTCCATGACACCATTTAATGGATGCACACCTTGGGAAAATTACTTCACCCCTCTACCTCAGTTTCCTCATCTGTAAATTGGAGATTATGACGGTCCCTACTTCATAGGGTTGTTGCGAGGATTAAATAAATCAAAACGTGTGAAGCACTTAGAATAGTAAGTAAACCACGTAAGTGATTGCTATTGTTACCTCCAGGCAAAGAAATCCAAATATAAAGAATGGAGCTAGAACATAAGCTCTACAAAGTAACAAACACAGGGACCTGTCGCCTCAATTCTTGAGAACAGTGCCCAGCACACAAGCAGGTACTCAAAGATGTGCTGAACGAATGAATGAGATATATACATAATGGATATGGTATATAATGAAACATGTTTTCAGAACTTTGGAAATTTTCTTTGGGGCATTCAAAAATCTTTCTCAATTACTTACAACTCTATCAAGAACGAATTTACAAAATTAATCCATTGATATATACATGAAAAAGGAAAAACTAAAATTTCCTTTAAAACTCTATGTTGAGAGTCAATTAAACGCTATCCGAGAACACCCTGAACACAAACTAAAACTAAGAATGTTCGTTCCAGGGCCGCAGTACCCCGGCGCCAGGGATTCTGATTTGATTACTCTTAGGAGGGCATGTTTTAAAAATGCGCCATGAGTTACTCCGACGTGCATTCCCGGTCAGGAGCCACTGATCCACACTGTCACTGAAAGCGCTGTAGAAGGACGTTCCATGACAAGGCAAAATGCCAGGCGCTGCTGAAGGTAAAATGTACCTAGGAGTCGAGTAAGAGACTGCGAGGTGGATCCACCCTGTTGTTGGGAGCAGTCCTCTGGGTAGATTTATTTAGCACACACGCCATGCGGTGACCCTAAACACAAGGGAAAATCTCAACCGCAATAAAATGACACAGTCTTCCTTTCTGTCCTAGCCTTTTGGGAAACAAAAAAAAAAAATGCCACAGATATTTACTGCATGTAAGCTTAATGCTCACTTAAGAAGTAAATGTCAGCAAAGCGTAAGAGAAAGATGACCCACAGAAGTGTTAGGACCTATAAAATACTGCCGCTGTAGGCAGCAAGACACCAATAATGTGTGTAAGAGGGTTATCAGAAACAAAACTTTCCCAAATTATGCCAGCTCTTTCTCTAAGAGATTCTGTCTCATACATACTATATTTCTACCCCTTTAATGGCCCTGTCCACCCTCACCCTCATGTGCGTAATCGTAGCAACTGAACCTAATTTATTTCTTTCTCCTTTTTAGAGTAAAAGTTTCCCCCCCCAAAAGCTGCAAAACGTGGAAGCAACCCCAAATGTACCCTGAGGGATGAAGGGATAAACAAAATGTGCTGTATCCGCACAATGGAATATTACTGTGCCTGTCCCGTCACATGCTACAACGTGGATGAATCTTGAAGACAAGATGCTAAGTAAAACAAACCATTCACAAAAGGACAAATACTGAATGATTCCACTTATGGGAGGTATCTCCAAGAAGTCAGACTCATAAAGACAGAAAGTAGAATGGTGGTTGCCAAGGGGGGGATGGGGAGTTGTTTAATGAGTATAGTTTCAGTTTTACAAGATAAGAGTTCTGGAAATTGGTTGTATAACAATGTGAATGTATTTAACACTATTGAACTATACACTTAGAAATGGTTAAGGTGGTAAATTTTGGCCAGGCACAGTGGCTCACGCCTATAATCCCAGCACTTTGGGAGGCCAAGGCAGGTGGATCACTTGAAGCCAGGAGTTCGAGACCACCCTGAACAATATAGTAAGATCCTGTCTCTACCAAAAAAAAAAAAAAAAAAAAAAAAAAAAAAAAGATGATAAATTTCACGTGTATTTTACCACAGTTAAAAATTTTTTAAATAAAAAATAAAAGTTATACAGCTGCATTCTTGCCCCCGATGCCCTCTTGTCCTCACCCACCCCTCATTCAAACCCTCCCACTCCCATCCTTTGCAACCTGGCTTTCGTTTCCATGATTTTACAGAACTGCTCTCTAAAGTCCAGTGGGACTGTCTGCAGTTGCCACCTGAGTAATGCCCCTTCGCCTTTTGTGACCTCTGCTCCTCCGGGCACTCTCTTGCCCCATTATCCGCTCCTCTTCCTCAACTGGGAACCCCTGGGCAAGACGGTATCCTCCCTTCTTCTCCCACATTCACTCGCCTGGAAGCTATCACCCATACACCGTCAACTCCTATACCTTCTGACCCTTATCTGGCCCCTGGTGCCACATTTCCTATTTCCAGGGGACTAAAGGAAATCACCCATATCATCTACAAAAATGAAAATCACTACCTGATGGCTTCTTTGCCTCTTTTTTCTTGGTAGAACTACCTTGCTTTTGCACAAACATCTCTGCTGCACCAGTGTCTTAATTTGATTCACTTTTAAGACTGTCCAGAACTGTGCCCTGTGTGAATTAGGCATTTTAGGAACCAGAGCTCTCTATGCATGTGCAAGGATTTGCTGGTGTTTATCTAATTCGAAGACCCTAAGAGGCTGCCAGGGTGCAGATATTTGGTGTGCTTGGCTTACATTGTGTTGGTAGACATACAATATTTTTAAAATGTAAATAAGTTGCCAACATTTTAAAAAAATAG